CCAAATAAGTAGTAAAACTTTTCTTTAAATTTAAATTTAGAGATTTATTTTTAAATAATGTTACATTTAATTTAAAAGATTTTCTGATTAGGATATCTGCTACTAGTGCCTAGTGGAGGCAGTGGGTGGGGTCACCAACTCCTCTAACGCATCTTGGTTCCCTAACACACAAGCAGCAATATAAAATAAAAAAGTTCGATCGTACGATTACCTAACATTTTGTTAGCTATTGCCCAATGGATGAGACGGAGTCCCTGATCGCCATTTTGCGGATCCAAGACTTCGGGTGGAGTTTCAGAATACAAGTAGTACGTCATCTCCTTCTGGCCTACATAACATGCGGCAGTTACTGGGATACGGCCATCTTCATTTTCAATGGTAAGCAAATTGCGGTTCTTTTCGACTATGCATTTTGCCACGTGGGTTGATCCCGTCCATGCCGCTAAAGAAAGAACCGTGTCTACATGAATGGCTGGGCCACATTTTATTTCCAGATCTGTTACCGACATCATCTCTACCAATTTCTCGGTAATCTTATCATGCCCCGCCTGTATTGCACCATGAAGAGCAGTGTAGTTGTCGCCTGAGAATATTTTTGCATTTAGTGGACGCTCGTCGAAAACAAAAAACCGCTCCACAGTATTCCAATCTCCTTCGCAAATGCTCTTTTTCAATTTTACACGATGAGAATCTTCAATCATCTTATCTTCTTTCCCTGTAAATAATTAAGATATTAATTAAAATTATAAGTGTTATAGTTAGTTTAAAAGAGACTCTACTTAAATCCATATTCCTTCTACCGGATTCTTCAAAATAAGTCATTTCAATTATTTCATCTTCTTCCCTTGTTAATAATTAAAGATATTATAATCAAATTATATTTCAGTTAAAATGGAGTTAATTTAGTTGAGAATCTCTTCAAATCAATCTTACCTCCATCCGACCCTTTAGAATGAGGCATATCAGTTATCTCGTCTTCTTCTTCTGCTAATAATTAAGGTATTATAATCAAATTATACTTTAGTCAAGATGGAGTTAATTTAGTTGAGAATCTCTTTAAATCAATCTTACTTCTATTCGACCCCTCAGAATGAGTCATATCAGTTATCTCATCTTCTTCCCCTGTTAATAATTAAGATATTATAATTAAATTATACTTCAATCAATGTATAGTTAATTCAGTTAGGAATCTCTTCAAATCAATCTTACCTCCATCCCACCCCTCCATGCCAGTTTTTGGTTTTGATTTAGATTGCCACTCTTGATGCATTTTGGCTAATTTATTCCAAGCATCTTTGGCCGACCTGATCTCCTTTATTTGAGCAAAAATATCTGCTGAAGATGTAGTATGAACCGCATGTAGAGCTGCCGCATTCTTTTTCCCCCAATTTCCCACGTCGTTCGAAGAAGAAAGAAAATCAGTATCGTCCCCAGATTCAATAATGCCCCAAAGATCTTGAGCCAATAGATAGTTTTCCATGTAAATTCTCCAATCTTCATAATTATCTTGTTTAAGAAGAAAAGGAACAATAGTAGTGGTACTTGGAACACTGCTTATTGCCATTTCAAGCATCTGTCAAACCATAAAAAGTAGTATAATATTAGTTAATTAGATATGAAATTCATGTTTTATAGTTTGAATTGTATATTATAAATATAATTTAACTTATAA